TGGCTTTATTAGGTGATATGTACTTATTGAATTAGTATGTTTATGAACTTTGCAGTGTGATTTCTTTGTTGATTTTCAGTCGTTATTTCTATGCATTTTTGAATGAGCTAAAAAACTTCTTTATTCGTTATCATTTTTTGAATTGTATACAAGAAAGATGTATATTTGCTATTTACTCTCTTAGTGATTCTATACAAGATAGATGTATTATCATGTTATTTAGTCATTGAAGCATTACTATCAACTGAACCATGTCAGTCAACTTGTCCTAGTTTCTTGTTTATTGTCACTGACCTAAGTAAAATAATAACTATCAATACATTGTTTGTTTAGATTTATTTGCAAAAAAAGTACAAATTTACAGTATACAGCTGCTTTAATTTTTTTTAAATTGACAGATATTAGATCTGGTATGGAACAGTATTAACAGCTGACTAACATGCATACAAATCACTCAATACATTTTGAATGTATAGCTCTTCAAGAGAAACAACCTATGATTGCAAAGCAAATACTTTTAAAATTCCTCCGATTAGCTTGCAAATTCTTCATTGGATCAAAAATACTTTGGGTGGAAACTGGACTTTCTTATCTTATCTTATAAAATACAGACGTTACTTCAAAAAAGAAGATGATTACGTCCTACACTTGTTCCTAGGTCAATCTAGTCATGCATGTTAACAAATGACTTAAATTCTGCCTAATCAATTATTTTTCTGGCTGGCTCAGGCAACCCATTTCATGCTCTAATATCACTAGGGAAGAAGGAGCATTTGACTAGTATTTGGAAAACAGCCTTACCGATTTTCCCAGAAATTTGACAGTTTATGTATATCTTTGATTAAAAAAAAAGTACTAGCCAAAACTCTAGCTTGAAAGTTACAATGTTAAATGATATTAACGGTATCATCCAAAAATTAAATTTGGCTTATTAAATTTTGAACACTATTTCTGAAGAAATTCCCGCTCTGGAATAAAATGTTTCTTTATATTCAGAATGGGGTTAAATAAAAAAAAATAGACATACATATATATTTTGCGCACCATCTTATGCAGAAACTGGACAGTTACCCCCCCCCCCCCCCCCCATCTGTACACATTGCAATAATGTGACATTATAACGATGTATAAAATGAGCAATTCTAGACCACACATCAGCTTCATAAAGGAGGGATTTATTTTAAAAAACAATTCCTTGTTAACCTAATTCTTATTCTACTGGTGGTTATTTCTTTTTTAAATTGTACTTTTATCATTTTATTTGTTTCGATATAGAAATATATTTTGAGTCTGTGTTGACAGCTTGTTGCCATGGAGATGCTTACATGAAACTACACACATGATTTATCCCCCCTCTTGTTAGCGCTGGTTGCGATGAGTACCAGTGGGGGGAAGGAAAAAAAAGGGGGAGGGGGGGGCTTAACTATTCCAGTCTCATTAAGACCATTTCACATGGTATCAAAATATTTACTATCCGACACGTAAGTAATTGTTACTCATTAAAAGAAAATATGAGCGGTTTATAGGTTCTTCAGTCATTCAGAATGTTCCTGGGTGTTGTAGCGATGAACATCAAGATTGAAGTTGATTATAAACTCTGACTTTGTGTGGATGTGTTGGGCAAGGTCACTTACATGTGTAAGGGAAATAGAAAAAAAGAATTAGCTGTATTCAAAAGATTTAATGAAGTCTCTGCTTCAATGTCGAAAATCGGATGAATGACGTTCAATATTTCTGTTCCAACGTTCCTACTTTCCTACTGAGCATGATCGCCCTGCTAGACTGTTTAATGTGGTGTGCATTGTGTCATAACTAGAGTTACCAGGCGTTCGTCAAAAGAGGACACGCCCTCCTTTTTTCTTTTTTGAGGTTCTGTAAATGTCCGGCTTTCCCTCTGTTCGATACTTAAAATGGCTAACAATCCAGAAATTAAATTCAATCCTTCATAGCTTTTGGTTTAAACACACACTTCTAGATGATGTATTGTCATGCATATAGTACTAATAGGAATAGGGTATTGATCTAAATAATGTTTACTTGTTTCACTTCAGTTTGTAATCATTTGTAGGACAGAGCGATGACTTCACAAACTTCGTTGCTAACAATGGTGCTTGTATAATCAAGGCTGTTCAAATGAAACTTTTAACAGCCCTTCGAGGTCTAAGAATTTTTCTAGCAAAAATAAACTCAACCTTGACCTTGCGGAGGGATCTTACAGCGCCCACCCACATCCCCTTGCTGGTTAAATGTTCTTCAGCTGTAAAGGAAGGTGGAGGGCGTCACGATTAAAATGTTGAGAATGATAGTTTTGCAGCCTTTGATTTGTCGACGCGCCTAGTTTTCAGTTTTACTTAGTCTTTTTTTTTTTATCCTGTGTAAAGCGTTGGTCTCTTTTTAGTGGTCATTTATGGGTCTGGTAACCCCACCACAATGTCGTTATTGCATCATAACAGCATGATAGTGCAATAGCATTGTTATAGTGTCATAACATTAGATTTAGTGCCGTAACATTGTAAATCCATATATTATCCATAACATCTTTATATATTGGTATTTGGAATTATTTATGCTCTAGGTTTAGGTACACAGAGACAGAGTGTGTGAATGTTTGACTCTGATATAGCACGATATGTGTTTACTATTCCATTGGCTAGAATTGAAGCGAGCTACTGGATAAAAAGTAGGATTGGTTGGCTAGTTGTTTGTGGTAAATGACTGTTTGAATATTGTTAGTTTGTCTGTTTGCTAATTCCGTAATATCCATTCTCGGATCAAGTCAAAACTTTAACAATTATTTAATGTACCTAACAAACCATGAATCATTTAAATATAGTGTTTATATATTTTTGTTATTAAAAATACAAAAAATGAAAGCTTACTTATCCTTTGCGAGATCGAAAAGTAAACTCTATACACAGAATGGGTCGTGAATAAGTTCAGTGGTTTGCGATTTCGCAGCAGTGTCTAGAAGTAAATTTGTATTAACTAAATTATTGTTAAAACGTTTTCTTTCTGCATTACATTAATGGTTTTAACCTTAACCTCTCCCATCCCTCTTTTTTTGGTAACACCGTCAATACATCCTCTAAAAGACAGGAGAGGTAAGGAACACAAAACAAATGGGAGTGCCATCAAAAGTCCATGTCGACCACAAAATGATAAGACCAAACAGCAACTTCAAATACATCAAAGCAGTCTTGAAGTCCATGACGCTAACGGTCTCACTGATACATACCAAAAAGGATGGTCTAACCAGTCAAACGTTTTGCAGATGATATTAAGTGCAGTGTATACTGTAAAGTTTTGTTGTTATGTTTGAATTTTTCAAACAAAATTATTTGCCAAAGTCATTGTGTTCAGGTATTAGTATCAAACAACTGACACTTTTTGTTTTGTTTGGTGCCGACCCCCCGAGCATTAGCCCAAATAGCCAGTCCGCCCCTGTGTTCCTCTCTCATCTTTAGAATACACCAAGACCCACATTATCGTATGTACGCCCATGTTCAAGCTTTTGATCAGAACTGAATTATGGAAAGGCCTCGCTTTGTTTATATTCAAAGACCAGCCATGTTGGATTGGCAGAGGTGCTAATTACGATCTAGGGCAGTGCTTCGTGAGGTCATCGAGGGGAAACAGTGTTTGTGTATTTGAATCTCGTGCCTTTGATGTTCGCGGGATTTCTAAATATAAACACAGGGCACGTGTATAAATACTATTGCCAGATTAGTTTTTGTATATTATGTAGGTTAGTGTTTACCGCAGGTTGCATTCGCATTGATTTGAGCATCTCTTTTCTGCAACGCTTTACTTAGGCACCAAATTTAGCTTGCCGGGGTAAGAGTACCGTAAGACCCAAACAAAGGGTTGCCATGGCAAATCAGGAAACAAACTTATCAGACGCTTGGACCCAAAGGTAAAGGCCATCAAGGTGTTAAGTGCAAATGAAGTACATTTAATTCTGATAAAGGACAAGAACTAAATCTGCTCGAATGAAAAAGCGAGATGTCCTTGTGAACGCCGGTATGGACAGTATACAGGGAACTCTTATGGTCCGACAGTTACGATGGGCAGGGCACGTATCCCGTATGGGGGACGAGCGTATGCCAAAAGCAGTCTTTTTTTTTTGTGAGCTAAAAGGTGGTTGAAGTAACAGAGGTGTCCCATGGAAACGCTTTAAAGACCAGCTTAGGCGCCAACTTGCCTTAGCAGACATAGAAGAGAGCACCTGGTTGCATGCGGCCTCAGAACGAGACTGCTGTAGGTCAATCACAAAGGCCGCGGGATATACATTTGAGACTAAAAGAAAATCCGCTGCCGAGGACAGGCGCAGACGAGAAAAGAAAATCTAAATCGACCAACGGCGGACAATGGTAATGCTTGCCATGGTTGTGGCAAAATATGTAGGTGACAGCTGGGATGCGTAGCCACCGGAAAAACTGCATTCCTCATTAATCTTCGGACTTGAAGACAAGCCTTATTATTATTATTATATACATAGGTGTGGACAGGGAGCGCTTCACAACAATACCAGTCTGAAAGTTCCTCAGTGGCAGCGAGTATTACTATGATTGGTTCGTGCCATCTACGTAGAGCGGGACTTCCAGACCTGGACCCGACATAAGCGTCTGAAGGCAGGGACGAAGAACAACTGCGGAAATTTCTTCATACTCCCATTCTGCCACATAAGAGCCACCTCTCCAGCCGCGGGTTTAAATCTAATTAGGACGCCTCTGATGAACGGCTTGGCGGACAATACCTATTTTAAAAAAAAAAGAGTTTATTAATATGTCCTTTATTCTGAACACCTGATGTTTAAAATTTTCCGCCATGTTTGAAAATCTTCAATTTAAAAGTTTAAAATTCTTTGAAACCGTTCTTTGAAAGTTTCAGATAGTAGACCAGCACTGTTGGTATCAAGGTTAATATATAGATCTAGATATAATACGAGACAAAACAACAACAACAACAAAAAAACAACAAACAAACGACAAACTCACTTCATTGTTTCCTATGTGAGCATTTAATCAGGTACATAAAATAACACGTCAAATTAAATAGAAACAAATCCAATTTAATCTTAAAATTCAAACAAGGCATCAATGACCATCAGAGGGAGGAGAGAACCAGAAGTCTTTGGAGGGTTATTCCCCCCAATTTCAAATGTACACTGCAGATTCATTAGCACTACAGATAAATATAACGTATATAACCCTAAATAAAACTCTAGGTTGGGAAGGAGAAAAAAAAAGGGGGGGGGGGAGGAGGGGAATCAAACTATAAATGCAAAGGTAGGTAACTCTTGTGTAAATTTGCTTATGTATATGTGTGTGTGTGGTGGCTTACATGTCAACATTCAAATCTGCTACAAATAACAGGCGGACATTGAGCAAGTCAAAGCAATCCTGCTTGTAAAGTTATCGATTAGCCAAACAACATGAAGGAGAGGGGGTGATATCTACAAACGTAACTAATTAATGATTTATCGGGTGCTTGTGTCTTTCAAGGAATGCTAAAATGGTTAGCAAATTTTAGACAAGTATTCGTCATAATGGTCAGGATAACTAGAATAGTATATATATATATTGAGATCTATTCGTTTTCGGCCTCTACAAGTCGAAGCTTTACAGATCTAGAGTCTAACACTTTAAGTTTTCTGGTAGAGTCTAGATCTAATTAAATTTTGGCTAATGAGCCAAATTGGTAGCAAGCCGCATTATGGATGTACTGGTAATTCTTCATGACATAACCAATCAGTCTTCAGTGCCTCTTGAAAATCCAGTTATAGCCTACTTAGTTTCAAAGTAATACAGCATACAAAGTTATACTTGAAAACATTTCTTTCACTCGGCTGAAATTGTGTTTCTAGATCTAGTAATTCTAGCTTTAACTCTTTAACCACCACAAGTATTAAAAGATAAAGTTTTTAAAATTTTCTTCCTGATCTAGCTTATCGTTGCTGAAGAGTTAAATGGTCTTTCTAATGTTAACATTTGTATATAGAACTAAAAGAAAAAAAAAGCTAGACTCTATGGATGGCCTCACACAATGTTGTATAGGCTAGTCTAGGAACATTCACAATGATCTTAAATATCACAGTTAACAGTCATTGAAAAATAAATCAATAACAAGCAAATAAAACAGTTTGGACAGTATGACCATAGCTATCCATCTACCATACACTGGAAATTAAAAGTTGAAATTTAGGTTGTAACATTTTTTTTGTACCATACACAAAAGTCATGCATAAAAATAATTTAAAAGGTGTCGAAGGACAAGAATTGTCAGATGGTTCAATGTGTGAAGACTAGGGAGGGAGGGACTGAATAAACTAAAGCAGGTCTCTAATTTATGCAAAACATTTGGTTTGTCATTTTGGTTTTAAAAAAGAAGAGGAATATGCATTAACCATCATCAATACCTTACAAGTGGCAAAATTCAAAATAAAACCAAAAAAAAAAAATGTATTTAAGTTTGTAAAAAGTTGTAAACCATCATGATAGAATTAGTGGAGTAAATGTAGTAATAGCTTAGGGTGCTTAAGTTTTATATTACAGTATCAATTATTATAACAAGTAAAAGTATATACATGGATTAACTAGCAAAGTGATAGTAACAGTCAAAGTTAAACAGTCACACCTCAGTGGGTAACAATGCCATCAAGTTCCTGCAGGTACATTAGAAATTGTAAAAAACATATTCACTTACAGAACTTTAAAAAAAAAAAAAAAAAAAAAAATTTATTGAATATTCATATTATTTCATTCAAAATAAATTACCAGTTATCCAGAAAGCAACCCATTCTTCATATTAGTTTTGAAATAAAACCACACTATGGTAAAAATTAACTAAATATGATTCATAAAAAACTTAAGCTACATTCTTTTTTATGTTAAAGAAATTTGAATATCATTTTCTATTAGTATGGAATTAAAAATATATAAATCAATAAATATTTTAAACTCATCAAGTAGTAAATTTTTTATTTTTTTTTAGAGCCAATATTTTTATTAGTTGTTTTTTTTTTTCCTCAACATTTTAGTTTTCAAAATTATAAAAGCCAACTCTGCCAGGCAAATGTAATGAATTAAAATTCTAATACTTATAAATTGAAACAAAAATACTAATAATAACTAAAAATTATAGGCTGACTAACTTGTTAAATAAAATTTTACCCACTTTTTGATAGAGATCTAAAAGTTTTCAAATGCATTTTAAAAAATCAGACTTTGTTTTTGTTTTATGTAGTCTATAAAGAAGAAAGAAGCAATAAAAACAAGCATCATTCTTATCAACTTGATCAATCAGATGGCTTGATTAAAACACTAGATCATTCACAATCAATGATTCTGCTAGCAATAGCTACTAGCTCACCAATTAAATACATTGATGCAATACTCTATCCTAATGCATCATACAATAGAACTATTGGCACAATAATAAAAGATGGTAATTCGAGGCTAGCTATCTACATGTAACAATGCATGTATAACAACTTGATTTATTACATTGACCAACAGCATTAACTTCATCCAGTATTTTAAATGAGTAAAAAAAAAAAAAAAAAAAAGAAAGAAGAAGAACAGTGAAGGGAAGCATTAAAAACATATTTCATCCATGAATAAAAATATGTGTTAACTGACCTACATAAAAATGGATTTCAAATCTAGTTATGCATTATTGAAAAGGTTACTAGAAATAGAGAAAGAAATCAATCATATTTCTTGTATAGTTTGCTAAAATATATATACAGCTGTTTCCTGTAAAATGAAATTAAATATTTTTTTCTTTTCAATGGAAAAAATGTTGCTTGCTAATAAAAAAAAATGTGTCTATATACATATGAAAAAAAGTTTAATATTTCAGTTGGGAGCAAAACAAATTGTAAGCAGTATAGTGTCATTGATCAATACTTGTAAAGTGATAAATGTGATCATAGAAACTATTGCACACAACTTAGGTAAAAAATACTTTGGCCAGGTCTGTTTACAAAAGAAAATATGAAGATCACACAACATAATTACATTATGGCAGAATGACAACACAAGAAGATTTAACAAAAATTCAGAAGATAAGATTCTTAAAAAAAAAAATATTAAAAGGCTAATCTAAATAGTTGTGTATCACTGGTGAAGTTTAACAGTTAACAAAAAATAGTAATATCTAAATTTGCACTACTCTACCACTATTCTGAATGTAAATGATTATTTAGTAAAATCTACACACGTCTAAAAAATAAGTTTCATTCGATAGTATTTTTATGTTTTTCAAAATTAAATTTATGCAATTTTTTTTTCACAGTCTCAAATGTTGTGGTGTATATTTATTTATACACTGTAAATTGTAATTTAAGAAAAAAATTCACAAAAAGTTACTAAAAATAGAAACAAGAGCAAAATTAAATAGTCAATGAGGTAAATCACATAGAATAATGTAAAGCCATGTTTGTAACAAACAGTTATCTAAACTCCAGTTTGGTAACAATGTGGATAAAAAGTAAAACAAGTCAGGAGGTAGCCAAACAATTGGACAAACAATTGTATATAAGCAGAAGTGAAGATTTATTGGTTCCTACTAATTGGCACAGTGCTTAATAAATTTGTTCCAGAATTTTTCTTTTAATGTTTAAAAAGAAGCTGTAAAAAAAAAAAAGAATGAACTACAGTTGGAAAGTGTTTTTCTGTGAGTGCAAAGAATTCTTTATGTATCATTGACAATCTGCTCTTTATTTGCAAGTGAAACTACTGTCTTTTGCATTACATGCTATCTGCATGCTTTTGCTGGCACTAGACTTATTATGCTATAAACTGGTAGTATTATCACATTCTATTATTTATAATTTATAAGATAGAAATATAAAAAAAGACAAACAAATTAGGTGTTAAAGCAGCACAGTCAGATATAGGTGATGCAAACAAATTATGCTAGAAAATATTAGAGCATGGTGTAACATGAATAGTGAACAACAAATGCATAAGAGTCAAAGCATACCCTGTCTTAAAGAACATTTTACTATTTGTTGACTTTTAAAAAATATTGACTTAAAGTAAGAAAACAAAAATTACCTGATGACTTGAAGTACCAGTATTCTACATGTTGACTTAAAGTAAGATAATTTTATTATGTAAAGTTGAATTAAAATTTTTTTTTACTATGTGCTGACTTAAAGTTATAATATTTACTTATCTAAACCTACTGCATTGATTCATACAGTTTATTTGCTAAATTTAAAATGAACATAAAGAATGCTTAGCTTAAACTTAGATAAAACATAAACACATATATGCATAGTGATGGCTTGAGAGAGAAGAGACGAGGCTATTGAATGGTTTAATTTGAAATGCCATTACTAAACTACAATACAAGAGCTGATGTGAAGTAGTTATTTTCGGCTAAATAGCAAAAAGGATTGTGGAACTGGAAATGTCAAAAAGATAAATAAGTCAAATGTTCTAACTACTTTGCTGTTTTTTTCCTAACTACAGCCAAGATGTAGGCTATGTATAGATGTATTTATCTATATATATATAATTTAAGTACAATAGTATGTCAAGCATGCATTCCATTTTCTTCACCAACACAAACATGTCCAAAGTCAGCAACTAATTATTGGAAGTTGAGATTTTTGTTATCAACATTTATATTCCATAAAATTTCAAACACTCATATCCAACAAGGAGTCTACGTCGAAAAACAAAATCAATAAAAGAAAAGAAACAAAACAGCAATAATTTTAAGAAGCAAAAACACTGTTTGTTGTCGTCATGTAATAAATAAATCTTAATTCCTGCTAGGAAGATTTTTTTCTGTCTTGAACAAAGGAAAGCAAAGCAATATTTATAAGTCACTTATATTTGTATATACATCAAGGTTACACTGCAGTGTGCTATCTGGTTCCTGCTCTACTTTCTATGAGCTAATGTAAGCAGAGGACTTGCTGCCACTTGCTAGACTAAAAAGGTTAACACAGATGATGTGGTTCATACAAACACTGACATATGTACATTAACAATAAGCTTATTAGTCAAGAACCTATACAAATCTACAAAAACATATCAAATACTTATTGTTTAAATAAAGACATAAAATATTCATATTAGAAGAAAAAAAAAAGAACCAAGTTTTTTTGTTTTTTTTTAAATAAATAGCAATCTAGAATACAAAATAGAAATATATCTTTGAAAATGAGTCTTACTAGAATGAAGATTTAAAATCAAACATTGGTTCTAAAACACTTTGTGATTGAAAGACATGATTT